CAGCAAGGATTTTGTGTAAGTGAATATATCCAGGATATGTTTTGTGCCATTTTGGTAAGGCAGTAAAATGCCAGGAGAGGAAAGGGAAATAATAACTTATTTTCTGTTATACTTAATTTATTTGTCATCACTGCAAAAGCAGCTCAAAATATGACAAAAGACAGAGTCTACTGCAGCTGTCTCCAAAGAGGGTTTGATTTTTAAAAACAGAGGTATTTATTACCTTAAGACACCAGTTATTTTCATATGTAGGAAAATTATTTCCCCTTCCTCATTTGACCCTTGCATGCTGTGAATGTTTCATTTTCAGTCCCATTTTGCCACCAGCAGAATTTTGTTCGAAGCCAAAGACACAAGAAAGGATAATTACAGTTCTACAGGAACCCTTAAAGGCAGAGCTCTCCCTCACTAGAGAAATCAAACAGAACCCTCAAAAATAAAGTACAAAAAAAACCTTCCTTCCCAAAAAAAAAAATCCCAAAACTCATATTTGTGTCACTCAGTGTCCACACTCACTTGCAAAGGAAGCACCTTCCAGAAGCTCCCAGTGGAGCTTGAGAAGGAGCACCTGGAACTTAAATAGGGCAGGGCAGCAACACTGAATTTCTTCCACCCAAACCTAATGATTTAATTAATTACTGCTCCCTTCCACAGCTGCCTGGAAGGCTGGGAGCTGTTCCTGCTCTCTGGTTATGAAATATCATATAAACTTTCACATCAGAGGGTTCTGTGTATTTAGATATTATTTTCCTTTTTTCCCCCTGAAGTATTTACACAGAGCTGGAGGGAAATGTTTTGGGGTCTCTCTTTGAGGGATTTACACAGAGCTGGAGGGAAATGTGGGGTCTCTCTCTGCACAGTGCAGGTTGGAGAGATTTCTGACAAGAAGGGGAGAAGGGGGAATGGCTCCAGAGTGACAGAAAATAGTTTAGAGGGGGGATTTAGGAGGAAATCCTTCTCTGTGAGGGTGGGGAGGCCCTGGCACAGAGAAGCTGTGGCTGCCCCATCCCTGGAAGTGCCCCAGGCCGGGTTGGATGGGGCTTGGGGCACCCTGGGGCAGTGGAAGATGCCCGTGGCAGGGGATGAAGTCAGATTATTTTTAAGATCCTTTTCAACCCAAACCAGCCTGGGATTCTGTGGCTGCAGAGCAGCAGCAGCAGCACGATAGAATTTAGGAAAACCCCTTTCAGCTGAGGTGTTGCAGGCACAGAACATCCTCCCTATCCACAGGAACAGCTCTTGGGTGCTTTTCATCTCCTGTGAGATGCTGCAGCAGCAAAGGAGGCAGAGCTGGGGGAGATTTGTGATCATGTTTTCCCTCTCCCTCTCAGAAAGGATGTTTTGAGAGGCTTTTGATTCAGAACTTTTCAAACTTTCACATCGTGGTTGGGCCTGGTTGTCAGATTGCTGCAGATTTGGTGATTTTTTCCTTGGATGTTGTGGAGAGAGGAGAGAGTGGAGTGAGGAAGGAAGGAAGGAAATTATTGTGCTCCTGAAATCCAGGGGCAGGGATCCAACAACCAAAGCAACGCAAAATTGTTATGTATTGAACAAGAATATTGACCAGCAGTTGCTGCTCTGGATAAGGGAGGAGTTTGGGTTTTGATCAGCTGTTTTCAGAACTTTTTATTTAGTTGTGTAAGAGCTCAGGAGAAACAGATTTACTGTGATAAGGAGGGTGATTATTTATAAAGCTGCTTCAAAAGGAAGAGAAACACTGGAGTTCCTAACAGCTCCAGCAGCCTTTAAACACTCCTGAGGTTTTAGTTTGTCAAGTGTAACCGATCCTTTTTTTTTTTAGCTTTCCTGCTGAATGACAGGAAGTTTAATTATAAAAGTTCAAAGCAAGAATTCTTAGCAACAGGAGCTAAGATTTCCCAAACGCCAAAAATTTAGATAGCACTCCAAGCCAGTTGTGTGTCTCGGTAATGCTGCTTTAGATTCATTTGCAGAGATTCATCGTGGATTTTAGCAAGGAATTTGCTGCTTATCATCTTAAGAGGGCAGCCTGGAGCCTGGGAACAGCGCTGGGCTCAGCCACACCACTGCACTGTTAATAAATCCTCCCATTAGGACTTGCCTAAAAGGACCAGACAGAGCAGTAAAAGGTGGAAATTGCCTTTACTCATCAGTGACGGAGTTTGGAGGAGTCAGGGATGTGCTCTGCTGGATGGTGCAAGGGCTCTGCTGCAGGATGGGCTTTCCCAGGGCAGCAAGAGGGGTTGAAAGGCATTGAGGTGCTTTCAGACCTCAGCCCTGCTCTAAATGAGCCACATTTGGAATCTGAGCCTTCCATCTTTAATTATTTTATCAGGGATTGAGCACAGAGAGCCCAGTTGGTGCTCCAAGGAAATCACCAGGAGAGGAGCAGCGTTCATTCTGAGACCACTGGTGTCAATATTCAACATTTTACCAAACACTTCACAAGCTGAAAAGGGCAAAACCATCAGTTCTGGCATTGGGGACAATGCAAAGATCAGAAATGAGGAAGAGTCTCCTCTGACAAAGGCAAACCTCCCCCATGTGTAATTTTGGGTAGGTCAGACAAGGACAGTGCAAACCAGGAAAAACTGAGGGTAAAGCTTAGCTTTACAGAACTTGGGCTTTACAGAACCTGGGGCACATCTGGAACTTGAGGTACATCTGAAAGCCCCAGATGAATGTGATGACAAAAAAAAGCAGAACAGGAATATTTTAAGAGGAATTTTAGCTGATTTTTTTTCTTATTTACCATGGAACTTTTTACATTGCAAATAGATTGATGTAACTGAAGTCAGGGCACTGCAAAGATCTCTTTCCCAAAATTCCTGTAGCTCTGCATGTGGTGAAAGATTATGCCATGACTTTTTTTTCCGAAAAAGGATGGAAAAAGTCACTCCTTTTCCAGAGCATGAGGGAATGTCCCTGATTCAGATTGTAGCTTTGTTAATTAGATTTAAACACCAAAATGCCAGCAAAATTGAAGAGCTGCACAGCACCACTTCTGTTCCTGTAATTTGGTGAACACCTGGCAGGTGTTTTGGGATGATGTTTGTGGGACTCCAGCCTGCAGAATTATCCTGCACAATTCCTCTTGGAGTGGAAATTGATCACTGTCACCCATTTCAGTGTCATGTAATTATGTATTAATTGTCACTCTTGATTAGCCCCACACCTTCAGTCACAGGGGGAAGGAGCTGCTGCGTAATTTTAACAGGACTCCACGAATTCTGAGCTTCTTTTACTAAACCACAAAACACAATTACTGATGTGAACATCCAAGAGAGAGGCAGAGTGTCGCACAGAGTTTTTTTGTTGCTTTCTGCTTTTCCTCCCATGATTTCCTCAGCTCCCCTCTGTGCTCTCCTGGTGAGGAGGAGCTGCCAACCCACTGATCTGTAAATCTCAATTCCTTGCAACAAGGACATCATCTCCAGCCTGCCAGCAGAGCTTTGCCAGAGGCAGCCAAACCCAGAAGCAGCTGATGGAGGGGCCTTTGGGATCATGAGGAGCAGCCAAGGGCAAGGAACATTCTCTGAGTTATTAAAGTCAGGGCAGATGAGACATTTCCATGGGCAGGGTCTCTATCAGGGGTCATAAGGAAAAAAAAAAATAATTCAGCAAATCTGGCTGATGTGGAAAGGTTTGGAGTGTGGGAACCTGGTCCCTGGAGCCACAGGAAATCTTTTTAAGGCTACACCAAACTCCTGATGTAATTAAGCACTTAAAGACAGTAAAACCAATCATCCCTTAAATAGAATCGTTGCTCTCCCCATCCTCATCTCCTGGCTTGCCTTTAACCATCATTTCCTGCCTCCTGTGCATGCTGTGAGTGAGGGTGCACACAGGAACACCAGAGCTGGAAATGCTTTCCTCAGGGAGGATCTTGTTCTCCTTCACATTGGACTTTTCCAGCTAATACAAATAATTATTTCCCTTTTAATTTTTTTTTTTTTAAATCCCCATGAGTTCCAACAGAATAATGTGGTGTAAAAACCTTTTGCTTGAAAGAAATGAGGCTGCATTATTTTCCTGATTCCCTTCAGCACCACATAATTTCTAAATTCAGTGAGAGCAGTGCCACCAGACAGGATTGATGGGAAACCTCCCCTCTACTTAGCACTGTGTAATTAGAGATTAGCATTGGATATGCAGTTGCCAGAAGTTTATTGATAATTTGCAGCAAAATGACCATAAGTTTTTTTTGTTGTTTACAGCTTCTTCCAGAAACCTCCAGTCTGAGCTCCTTGACCTCCACCCAACCAGCACAAAGCATAAAGCAAATGCCAAGTTCTGTGAAGCCAAATTCTGTGAGACAAATGCTCTTACACGAGCCACATTTTGAATCTGAGCCTTCCATCTTTAATTTTATCATGGTTTGAGCACAGAGAGACCAGTTGGTGCTCCAAGGAAATCACCAGGAGAGGAGCAGCGTTCATTCTGAGGCCACTGGTATCGATATTCAACATTTTACCAAACACTTCACAAGCTGAAAAGGGCAAAAACATCAGTTCTGGCATTGGGGTCAATGCAGATATCAGAAATTAATTATCAGAATGTTAATCACCCAACATCTCACAGCAGTCAGTTTTAAAATGCACCCATTTATTGATTCCAATTGCAACACACACATCACACAATGCACTTCCAATAGTGGTGACAAGTCAGTGGGGTGAGAGGACAAGTGTAATTAATAAATTATCCATCACTGAACCCTGTGCAGCCACACACAGGGAGAGAACCATGAAGTGGACAGCCCTAGCCAGGGTATAAATACATAAATACACTTTCTGTACCAAGAAACATTCCCTCTCCCAGCAGGGAAGGAAGGAGGGCAGTGCCACTTGCAGAAGACAACACACAAATTTTAAGTTTAGCATCTTGGTTTTCAGTTTTTCAAAGCAGGTTCTGCCACCACCAGCCTGATTTCAGATTTCTGGGTCCTTCAGGGCACAAGCTCCCTTTGGCATCGCCCTGGCAGGATGGAGGCAGCAGGGTCAGCTCTGGCTGCAGACAAACCCTCAGTGCTCCTCTGCTTTTCCCTCACTGCTAACTTTGATTTTCTCCTCCTCCTCCTGGGTTTCTGGCAGGCAGGCTGGGATCTCCTCTGATGTGTGTCCATCACCACAGGCCTCAGCCACCTCTTCAGCTTGCTCTGGCTCACCAGCAGTTCCTGTCACACCTTCAGGATCAGGAATCTCACCGGGTCCCAGCTGGAGATCAGGTGGGGCTTTAGCTTCTTCTCCCCCCTGCTCTTGTGCAGCTCTCTGCCCACTTGTGATGTCTTCTCCTGGCTCTGCAGCCTTCAGGGGCAGCTCTGGCTCCTCCAGGGGACACGGAGCAGCCGTGGTGTCACCTGCAGTCTGCATGGGCGCTTCCCAAAGAGCCTCCCCAACACAGGCCTCCTCTGCAGTGCTGCCAGCCCCATTCCCCTGCCCTGCACCGCTCAGCAGCTCAGATCTTGCAGCCTGACCCCAGCCAGGCTCCTCGTGGTCACCTGCAGACACGTGGACATCGACCTCCACCGTGGTCTGGTGGGGAGGTGTCACCCCCTGGTCCCCACGGCGGAGCTCGCGGTGCAAAGAGCTGCCAGGTGGGTGCAGGACAGCTCCAGTCTCGCTGCTGTCCTGAGGATTTTGGGATCTTTGTGCCTCTCCAGTGAGTCCCTGGTGTTCCATCAGCTCTGGCTGAGGTTTGGCTTCAGGCTCCTGGGACAGCTCAGCCCCTCGCGTGTCTCCAGCAGCCACAGGGACTGAGGCCTCGCTGTGCTGTGCCCTTGGAGAAGTGCCTGGGTCTCCTTCCTCCTCTCCAAACTCACTTCCAGAAGTTTCCATCACCAGCTGGGCAGCAGGAGGCTCAGAGCGCCTCCGAGTCCTCCCAATCCGTGCCGAGTGGAAGTGGCTCTCCCCAGTCCAGGTGGCTGCATCGCAGCACGCCCGGGCAGCCTTCCTGCCCCTGGCCCTATAAACAACCCTGGGGAACACACAGTGTGCCTTGTTCTTCCCAAAAACACCTCCCATGGCCAAAGGGCAGCACAAAAACTCCAAGGGCTTCTCCTGCGAGGCTGCAGGGGGCTCAGGAGGAGCAGGGAGCTCTGGCTCTTGAGGAGCAAGGGGCTTCACACCTGCAAGAAATGGATATTTATTTGCCCACGCTCATTAAGGTGAGTTAATTACCCCATTCTCAGCCAGCAGTAGCTCAGGGATCACGGGAATGAGCTGAACAGGTGGAATTGCACCCGGTGGGGTCAGGGGAGACACTGAGTTATTTTAAAAAATAACAATGTGAAAAGAAGGAAAAAAGAGAAATACAGAGACCTTGTAAGAAATAACAGCCTGGAAAAGAGGGATACAGAGACATTTTTTCCTTCTTTTCAGACTTATTTCTTAAAAGAGATCTCATTTAAGAAATAAAGCTTACTTCTTATAAGAGGGCTTATTTAAGAAAAAACAGCCTGAAAAGGAGGAAAAAGAGAGATACAGAGACCTCTTAAGAAATAACAGCCTGAAAAGAAGGAAAAAAGAGACCATTTGTCAGTCAGAGCGCTCTGGAAAACAGTGACAGGTATCAGGAGCCACTCTTCAGTCAAGGAAATGTTTAGACTTCCAGTAATAGATGGGGGCAGGAGGGAAGAGAAGCAAGTCAGGCAGGAAAAAATTATAGATAAATTTAAAATTCACAGGACACAGCAGGGTTTTTTCCTGAATAATAACATTAGGAGAGGACTGCAAGAGAGACAAACTAAAAGGTAAAATAAAATCTCCCAGCACAAAACAAATTCAATAACTAAGAAGCAAGGCCTGCCTTAAACATCAAAATGAGCTAAAAACAACAAAATTACTTGTGCTCAAAGAGGCCCAGACTGTAAAAATATGCAGGAATTAAAGCAAGGAACCCATCCCACAAAAACCAAAGGGTGGGAGAGCACACCCAGCCCCTGCTCACCAGCACAGCTCCACTGAAATCCCTCACCTGGGGGGCAAAGCCCTCACCTGGGGTTAAATAGGACAGGGGGGTCACACTCAATCCCTTCCCCCCTTGACTCCCACCCTTAGTTCCAGCAGGTTCTGAGGTTCCCTTATTTTATTTTCTATTTTCCCAGGCATTTCCAAGCCATTGGGAACAGGATGTGGCTGTGCCCCTGTGTGCAGCTGATGGGTGATTGACTTCATTTTGATAATTGCCACTGAATGTCTAAAATAAAGCTTAAGATTTACACAGAGGAGCCATGGACAAGACAAACTGACCTCTGCTTCAAAGTGGAGATGCCAAGTGGCAGAAAAACCAGGCTGGGTTTGTGTATAACTCACAAATTATTATACTGATGTTGCAATCTCCCATTTTATTTGATATTGAGCAGTTAGAGGTGAAAAATTTCCCCCTTTCCCACTTGTGTGCTGTCTTCAGCTGGCTGAGTGGTGCAATTAGCAGTTTTACAGTGGCTGCAGATGATTTGAACCATCCCAGGCACAGCTGATCAGGCCCTGCCTGTGTCTGCTGGCTGGGAGGGAGCTCCAACGTGGAATTGGTCACACGGGCAAAACACAAAAGCAAATATCCATTAAAAACAAACTAATCCCAGCCAGGAGTGTGAAGGCAGAGCCTAAATATCCACTGCCAGCAGCGCCAGTGCTGTGGAATGAAGAAAAAAATCAAAATGGATGGATTCCAGGCTTCTTTTATTTACATAAAACCCCCTCAAATCTACAATTTTGGACGGCAGATCTGGTTCAGCATCCTAAACTTTGCTGAGCTCCAGTGACTCCCTGAGAGCAGAGAACAAAGGAGGAGCATTTGGCGAGGGCAATCCGTGTGTGCAGCCAGGGCTGGGAGCAGAACAGGACAATGTTCCCCTCCTGCCTTGTGATGTGCTCCAGCATCTGCTCTGCACCATAACTCTGTGTCACTGCAGTGCCACCAGGCTGGGAGAGCCTCACTCCGTGCCTGGTGGGCTTTTACAGCTTTCCAAAGCTTTTTTTTTTTGTTGTTTTTTTTTATACTCTTTTTTAGGCTTCAGTGGAAATGAAATTCAGAGGCAGGTCAGGGTTTATTTGACTGTTGGAAACTTCATGTGCAGGGTGTCACACGGCAGTAGTTGGAAACTCTGGTGGCTTTGGGGACATGGATGCTTTGTAAAACATCACAACTGGAAGGAAACTTCATCCCCAGCTGCTCCTGAGTGGGGAAATGTCAAGCACAGAGAGCTTGGCAAGTGGGTTTCCAAATCCTGCAGATGTTGCAGGGATTTATTTCAGTGTTCTGTGCAATGGGAAGGTGCTCAGTCATCAGCTCATCGTGAGGTAGCTGGAATATTGGACATTTAAAGTGTAGAATTTGAAATACAGATTTAAAGAATTTCTTACCCTTGAATCATGGTGAAATATGAAACATACATATGAAATAAATAAATGAAATATTCTAGTTTAAAAAGTCCAACTTTGACACATTTGAAAAAATCCAGAAAATCTCCTGCACGTGAGCCACCACAGGAAATGGCAACACAACACATGCAAGTGGAGGGAGGAAAATCCTCCTGTCAGAACAATCACATCTTCCTTTACCAGGCTCAGTCTTTGTTCCAGAAGCCTTTCCCAATCCCTGCTACTTTGATATATTTAAAAGGACTGTTCTAAAAAAAAACCATACACTTCTTTTTTTGACAAATAAAAGGAAATAATCCCAGCTCCTCCGAAGAGCCGGGCTCAGCTGTTGGGCCAGGATTGTGCTGCAGGATGGAACGCTGTACAATAGCACCATTACAAAACCTCTCTGTGGCTCCATTGCTTACAAGGAGGAGGCTGCAGGCAGCTCAGGGCATCACTCCTCGTGTCTGGGGGTTTTTATTGCAGAGTTCAAGCTGATTCCTGGCAGCAGAACTGTCCCTTCCAATGCCGGGGCCTCTCGCTACGTTTGGGGCATCAAACCCAGGGGGGCTCTGCCTTCGTCCATCACGGAGCTGGCACCACAACAGGAGGACACCACAGGCCTGAAAAGTCTTCTCCTCAAGGAACAGGAAGGGTTTTCCAGCACTGGAGCTCTGCAGCTTTGCTTTTCCAGCTTGGAAACTCTGCCTGGCCCCACACTGCGGAGCCACAGGCCCCTCAAAGGTTAAAGAACATTTTGTGTGGCACAGCTCCTGCTCAGGACCCTCCTCAGCAGAGTTAAATAACCAGCTCATGGGCACAAAAGTGATTGAGGCTGATTTCTCCTCAGGGTTTCTTATTCAAGCCTTTTCCCTGCCTCAATCTGGGTTTTGGGGGAGGCTGGGACAAAGAGTGGCAATGAGCAGGCCCTGATCCCTGCGAGACAGCAGCAGCAGGGGTTGGTAACTTTGGCAGAACAAACAAAATTAAAACATTTGAGTCCAAAAAGAAGAGCCTTCAGTCAGCTTTGTGTGTATTTATTTAATAACTTCCCACCTTTCAGGGCCACGTAGCTCATGGTTTAACAGCACTGCAGACACAGCCCACCTGAGCAATAATTGGAGTTTATTAGCTCAGAGAAGCCTTTCGAAGAACAAAAAGGATTCCAGGCACCTCCTTTTCCCCCCCTCTTACTCACAGAGGGCTTTGCCAGCCTAAGGGTGATTGAAAGGACAGAAGTTGAGGTGTTAAAAAAACCCCACCCTCTTCCCAAAACATTGAATTTCATCCCCAGCGTCACTGGTCACACTCCAGTCACTCTTCCTCCTCAGCCTTCAGCTCAGTGCAAGACAAATAAAGAAGCACCTGCAGGATATTTTATCTGGCACTTTTTCCATCAGCATCCCATTCCTCAAGCATTATTTAATGCCTAAAAATTCCCCAGTTCACCACTCTCCCTCCCCTCTACACGTCTGGGCACTTTGTGTTGTCAGACCTTGCTCCAAAGGCTCCTTTAAAAAGGAGTCAGTCCCTGTTTCTCATCTGAAGTGTAAAGAAAAGCACTCCACAGTTTTAGCTGTATTCTCTGTTCTCTTTTATTCCCAGCAATTAAAACACAGTTTAGGGTCTTGCCATGATTTTTAAAAGTGTATTTTATTGGTAGCACAAAGTGGGGAGCATTAAAAGTCAGTAGATTTCAGCTGCAATACACTGACTTCTGCATTCTGGTCAAGACTACATTTTACACAGGTTACACAAACACTTGCACTACTACAAAAGCTACAAAGAACAAGCCAGAATTAGGATTTCATCATCTTCCTGTGAAAATATTTTGTTCAACATGGACAAGAAAGCAGGAAGCATCAATTGTACAAGAGAATTATTCAGGGAGGTATTTGAAGTATTTCAGTATTCTGAGGTAGCAGAAGTGGCTGTTGGCCTCACAGAAAACATCTGACTGCTCACAATTAAAGGAGCAGTTTTCTCTTCTGTTTCCAGACTCTTCAGACCGAGGGATGAAAACCTCCCATCACCAAACCTCACTGGGGGAACACAGCAACAACATCAGCTCAGTGAAATCCTGATCTGAGTGAATCAGCTCCATCCCAGCGAGGCACGATCTGAAAAACAGCTCCTGGGAAAAGCAAGGAACAGATCTGTGACTGAACAAGAACTCAGGAGAACATCTGGAAAGCTCTATGAAAACTTCACAGATCTGTCTGGCAAGAGTTTCTGGAGTCTGGGACACATTCTGCAAAATCCCGAGTCCAACAGCTGGGGTTCATCCCTTCCTGAGGGCAGGGACCTCATCCTTGCCACTGAAGATGTGACCCCGAGCCACCTGAGGACCAAACACCTCAAATTTCAACATTTTCAGCCTCTCTTTCCCCACTGCTCCCAAGCACTTCAGGCAGTGAGGGGGGCACGTGTGGGGGCTCAGCCTCTTGCTTTACAGGCACAGGAACAAAATCTGCTGGTTCTTTTGGAAGCTCCAGTGCCGGCTGAGTGACCCCATGCTGCGGCTCTGCCTCAGGTCCTGGGGTGCACCCCCTGCTCCCCTCCTGTCCCAGCTCACACAGGCCTCCATCCTGGGGCTGCTGCAAGATCTCGCTCAGTCCTGCAAGCCCTGTGCAGCACAGGCTCCCCACGCCCTGGGC